TGGCAAGATGAGCGTTGCTATTTTAGCAACGCTCGTCTTGCCATACCTGGAGTATTACCTGGAGAGAGTTCCTGGGGTCAACGCCCCCGCGGCCCGGTCTGTGACCAGGCCTCCTGGTGGATCAGAGCCTGATCAACCAGGCTGTTACTGCTGGCTGCACGCAAACCAACGTACGAGCCACAGCCCGGCTGATCAGGAACCGACTTTAGGTGCTTGTCCAGTGCCAGCTTGAAGACTGCCAGGGGTCTGTTGGTAATCCCCCTTATGTATGCTGGGAGGCAGTTGAACAGTCTCGGGCCCCTGACACTTATTGTATGGTCTCTTAACGTGCTAGTGACACCCCTGTTTTTCATTGGGGGGATGTTGCATCATCTGCCAAGTCTTTTGCTTTCGTAGTGAGTGATTTTCGTGTGCAAGTTCGGTACTAGTCCCTCTACAATTTTCCAGGTGTATATAATCATGTATCTCTCCCGCCTGCATTCCAGGGAATAGAGGTTCAGGAACCTCAAGCGCTCCCAGTAATTGAGGTGTTTTATCTCCGTTATGCGCGCCGTGAAGGTTCTCTGTACATTTTCTAGGGCAGCAATTTCACCTGCCTTGAAAGGTGCTGTTAGTGTGCAGCAATATTCCAGCCTAGATAGAACAAGTGACCTGAAGAGTGTCATCATGGGCTTGGCATCCCTCGTTTTGAAGGTTCTCATTATCCATCCTGTCATTTTTCTAGCTGATGCGATCGATACAATGTTATGGTCCTTGAAGGTGAGATCCTCCGACATGATCACTCCCAGGTCTTTGACGTTGGTGTTTCGCTCTATTTTGTGGCCAGAATTTGTTTTTTTACTCTGATGAAGATTTAATTTCCTCGTGTTTACCATATCTGAGTAATTGAAATTTCTCATCGTTGAACTTCATATTGTTTTCTGCAGCCCACTGAAAGATTTGGTTGATGTCCGCCTGGAGCCTTGCAGTGTCTTCAATGGAAGACACTGTCATGCAGATTCGGGTGTCATCTGCAAAGGAAGACACGGTGCTGTGGCTGACATCCTTGTCTATGTCGGATATGAGGATGAGGAACAAGATGGGAGCGAGTACTGTGCCTTGTGGAACAGAGCTTTTCACCGTGCCTGCCTCGGACTTTACTCTGTTGACTACTACTCTCTGTGTTCTGTTAGTGAGGAAATTATAGATCCATCGACCGACTTTTCCTGTTATTCCTTTAGCACGCATTTGCAAAGTCTGTATATATTACATCTGCATTCTTCTTGTCTTCTAGTGCATCTAGGACCTTGTCGTAGTGATCCAATAGTTGAGACAGACAGGAGCGACCTGTTCTAAACCCATGTTGCCCTGGGTTGTGTAACTGATGGGTTTCTAGATGGGTGGTGATCTTGCTTCTTAGGACTCTTTCAAAGATTTTTATGATGTGGGATGTTAGTGCTATCGGTCTGTAGTTCTTTGCTGTTGCTTTACTGCCCCCTTTGTGGAGTGGGGCTATGTCTGTTGTTTTTAGTAACTGTGGGACGACCCCCGTGTCCATGCTCCCTCTCCATAGGATGGTAAAGGCTCGTGATAGGGGCTTCTTCCAGTTCTTGATGAACACGGAGTTCCATGAGTCTGGCCCTGGGGCAGAGTGCATGGGCATGTCATTTATCGCCTGTTCGAAGTCATTTGGCGTCAGGATAACATCAGATAGGCTTGTGTTAACCAAATTTTGTGGCTCTCTCATAAAAAATTCATTTTGATCTTCGACTCTCAGTCTGGACAAGCGAAAATTTGTGTATGCAATAATTTCGCCAAAATCATTCTGAACCTAACGAAAAAAATATATTTCACTGTGTTTGTTTAGTATTAAATTATCGTAAACAAATCTAAAATATATATAGTTGGGTTAGGCTAAAATAAATTGTTCTTGTTATAATAAGGTTAGGGAAGTTTTCTAATATTCTTTTGGTGCAAAATTAAAATTTTTTTACATTAACATTAATGAAAAATATATACCTTTAAACGTATAAGAGAAAATTTTAGAAAGGACTTAATTTTAAAAGAGTTCTTGCTAATTGACCAGTTTTTACATATTCGGCACGATATATATATATATATATATATATATATAATATATAAATATATATATATATATATATATATATATAATAATATATATATATATATATATATATATATATATATATATATATATATATATATATATATTTATATATATATAAATGGAGAGTTAGAGGTATTGGGAAGATGGAGGGAATATTTTAATGAATTGTTAAATGTTGATGAAGATAGGGAAGCTGTGATTTCGTGTAATAGGGAAAGGAGGAACAACATCTTGTAGGAGTGAGGAAGAGCCAGTTGTGAGTGTGTGGGGAAGTTCGTGAGGCATTAGGTAAAATGAAAGGGGTAAGGCAGCCGGGATTGATGGGATAAAGATAGAAAATGTTAAAAGCAGGTGGGGAATAGTTTTGGAGTGGTTTGGTGCAATTATTTAATAAATGTATGGAAGAGGGTAAGGTACCTAGGGATTGGCAGAGAGCATGCATAGTTTCCTTTATAAAGGCAAAGGGGATAAAAGAGAGTGCAAAAATTAATAGGGGATAAGTCTGTTGAGTAACCTGGCAAAGTGTATGGTAGAGTTTATTATTGGAAGAATTAAGAGTAAGACGGAGAATAGGATAGCAGATGAACAAGAGGCTTTAGGAAAGGTAGGGGTGTGTGGACCAGTGTTTACAGTGAAACATATGAGTGAACAGTATTTAGATAAGGCTAAAGAGGTCTTTGTGGCATTTATGGATTTGGAAAAGGCGTATGACAGGTGGATAGGGGGCAATGTGGCAGATGTTGCAGGTGTATGGTGTAGGAGGTAGGTTACTGAAAGCAGTGAAGAGTTTTTACGAGGATAGTGAGGCTCAAGTTAGAGTATGTAGAAAGAGGGAAATTATTTCCCAGTAAAAATAGGCCTTAGACAAGGATGTGTGATGTCACCGTGGTTGTTTAATATATTTATAGATGGGGTTGTAAGAGAAGTAAATGCGAGGTCTTGGCAAAGGCGTGGAGTTAAAAGATAAAGAATCACACATAAAGTGGGAGTTGTCACAGTTGCTCTTTGCTGATGACACTGTGCTCTTGGGAATTCTGAAGAGAAGTTGCAGAGATTGGTGGATGAATTTGGTAGGGTGTGCAAAAGAAGAAAATTGAAAGTGAATACAGGAAAGAGTAAGGTTATGAGGATAACAAAAAGATTAGGTGATGAAAGACGGGATATCAATTGGAGGGAGAGATATGGAGGAGGTGAATGTATTCAGATATTTGGAGTGACGTGTCAGCGGATGGGTCTATGAAAGATGAGGTGAATCAAAGAATTGATGAGGGAAAAGGGTGATGGTGCACTTAGAGTCGTGAGACAAAGAACTTTGTCCTTGGAGGCAAAGAGGGGAATGTATGAGAGTATAGTTTTACCAACGCTCTTATATGGGTGTGAAGCATGGGTGATGAATGTTCAGCGAGGAGAAGGCTGGAGGCAGTGGAGATTCACGTCTGAGGGAAATGTGTGGTGTGAATATAATGCAGAAAAATTCGCATTTTTGGGAATTTAGGAGGAGGTGCGGGATTACCAAAACGTTGTCCAGAGGGCTGGGGAAAGGGGTTTGTTGAGGTGGTTTGGACATGGGGAGAGAATGGAGCGAAACAAAATAACTTCAAGAGTGTATCAGCCCCTGTAGTGGAAGAAGGCGGGGTAGGGGTCGGCCTAGGAAAAGGTTGGGGGGGGGGGTTTAAAGGAGGTTTTGTGTGCGAGGGGCTTGGACTTCCAGCAGGCATGCGTGAGCGTGTTTGATAAGGGGTGAATGGAGACGAATGGTTTTTAATACTTGACGGCTGTTGGAGTGTGACAAAGTAACATTTAGAAGGGGTTCAGGGAAACCGGCAGGCCGGACTTGAGTCCTGGAGATGGGAAGTACAGTGCCTGCACTCTGAAGGGGGGGTGTTAATGTTTCAGTTTAAAAACTGTAGGGGTAAAGCACCCTTCTGGCAAACAGTGATGGGGTGAATGATGGTGAAAGTTTTTCTTTTTCGGGCCACCCTGCCTTGGTGGGAATCGGCCATGTGATAATAAAAAAAAAAAAAAAAAAAAAAATATGATATATATATATATAAAATATATATATATATAAATATAAATATATATATATATAAAATATTTATATATAATATATATATATAATATATATATACGTAGATGGTGTGGTGTGTGTGTGTGTGTCGAATATATTTATTGTAGGAATTCTGAATAAATGAAGAATGGGTATAATTGAAAACCGCTGCGTTACTGAAATGCTGTAAAGTGAAGCACTGTCACTGTAAAGTGTGGCCCTCTTGTATATCAAAAAGTGCCTAACTTGCATGGTTCATACAGCCGTAAGGTTTCCGTTGTAAGGGCGGGGGATAATGGAGTTGAGAGTTAGTGCAATTGTAAAATTAACAGTTAAATTGCAACAGAAAGTTAAGTTTCTGTTAAAGCTAAAAAGGAGTGTGAATCAAAGGTGGGATTTTTAGAGAGGGAAGATAAATGTGTCAGGGTATTGAAGTAGAAAGTGGAGTCTGCATCCTCTCTAAAAGATAGGACAGTCTGTTAACACATGATTAACTGTTAGAGCTCTCTGACTGTCCTCACAGAGATGCTGGGCATCTTTCTGAATGGCATACCTGTGCAAGTCATGTTTGTGTAATGAAGCCCTCGGGTCATACGTTAATTAAGGTGAGATAAATATTCGTTGTGAAGATTTCATGACTGTCTTTAATATGTACTTCCCTATTTATTATGTGCATAGTTCTGTAACTCAGGTGGTTTGGAAATATTGCAATATAATAAAAATAACTGTGTGGAAATTTATTTGGTCCCCTAAAAAGTTTCCCACAGGACAATACGGCGTACAAAAGGGGGCCCAACAAGGCCGTAATGGAACGGCTGAGCTGGGTGGCCCTTAAACCCACCCAAACAAAAGCGTTCTCTCCCGGATTGTCGAATGTGGATGGTAGGCACTTATTAATTTATAGATTTACTCTTCAGGGAAGAAGTAGGTAGTTTACTGTTAGTACACTAATATTAGGATTATTGAGGCAACTGTAGATAATAATAATGTAGACCTAAGACCTTAACATAGGTAGTAATAGGCCGATAATGTAGGCAAACACTAGGTTAAGTTAGCTAGGGAGAACTGGCAGCCCTAGTTTGAATGACGAGGCGTGGGTCTGGGAGGGATCAGCTCATTCTTCTATGACCATACACCACCTGGACAAGACGTGCCGTGATCAGCAGATGGCGCCTCCCACGTGTCTTCACATATGAGTCCTGGGGAAATCTGGTAGAGGCACCTCGATGTACCGTAGATGACCTCCTCCATCAGGCCCATACAGTAAGACAAAACCTCCACTTTCTCTTAAAATTTCTGGCCAGTGTCTGGGGAAAATTGTGAGTGAGTTGATCTGTATGCCTGTGTGCAGCTGGCAGTGCATGCCCAGTACGTACCAGTGTCTCTTGTCTATCTAGAAGCTAGTGTCCGTGTCTGCATAGTTGTACTAGGGGATACACACTCCCTTGGATATAGGAATTTCTGAGGTGCAGGCAGGTCACTAATATCGATTGAATATTGCAGGAATTAAGGCTCCCGGTTGCACGTGGTTTCTGAGGGGAAGTCCAAAGGGGCTAAGGCTAAGCTTAGGGAAGTTGAAGATCAGGATATATGCTGCAACACCAAGTAAGTTAGTCCTTTATATGTGCATGCAGGCGAGTTTCTTGCAACATCAATCATTTATGAAAATTTGTCCTATAAGCCACTTGTGAGGCTGAGGTATCCACCTCAGAACTCGGTGTCAACAGAGCTTGCCAGGGTAGGCGACTCACTTGGAGGCAGTCCAGACAAATTTTCTCAAAGTGGTCCTTCGAAAACCGTGATGTGGAATAGATAGGTTAAAATTAACATAGCTAGGCCACAGTTAGGAACCAGTTTAACAGTTAGGTTAAGTTAGCACACCTAGGCCCAGAGTTACACAGGCTAGGCCAAGCTGACTATACACAGAAGTTATTATTTGCAGTAATTTACAGGCAGGCCAGGTAGTTTACATGGAGTTTACCTGGAGAGAGTTCCGGGGGTCAACGCCCCCGCGGCCCGGTCTGTGACCAGGCCTCCTGGTGGATCAGAGCCTGATCAACCAGGCTGTTGCTGCTGGCTGCACGCAAACCAACGTACGAGCCACAGCCCGGCTGGTCAGGAACCGACTTTTGGTGCTTGTCCAGTGCCAGCTTGAAGACTGCCAGGGGTCTGTTGGTAATCCCCCTTATGTATGCTGGGAGGCAGTTGAACAGGTTAAGTACAATTAGTGTCACACTCCTAGAAGTGTCCTGGAAGCTTGTGAATTTAATTATTTACAGTGATTACAAGTAATCCAGAGTAGGAAACTTGTGTGTTAATTACTTACAGTGGATTTGCAAGGTAGCCTCAGTTAGGCTAGGCTTGTGCAATATTTATAACAGTTATAGTAGCTAGGACAGATTTAACTTAGTTATTATTTACAGGGAGTTCTAAAGCCAGGTTTAATTAAGCTATAGCACACTAGTTAGGTTAGGATGTACCTTATCCAACCATCCACGCTAGACTGAGTAAGCTGGGCAGTTAGGCCAAGCTGTTTACATACATTATTCATTTACTGTTTCACAAGTTGAATTGTTGAATTTATTTGTGTTAACCAAGGGATTTTAATTTATATACTGCACTTTTTATTGTGTGATTTTTAACTGTCTTTGATTCATTTTTAATGTGGGATTTGCGAACTGTACCTGAGACTAGGTTAAGTCCTGTAATTATTTGCTGGCATTATACAGGAAATTGCTAGGTTTTAAGCTTTCACATCGATACACATTTCAATTGGGATTTGAGAGCTAACAGTGTACATTTTTTATTCAGAGTAGAGTCAATATAACAAAGGGAATTGTTAAGCTTGTTGAGAAGCCTTGAGACTCGTTCATTCTTACCTAACACCGTGACGTGATGTGGGGTGAACTGGGTACCTGGAGTTTACCTGGAGAGAGTTCCGGGGGTCAACGCCCCCGCGGCCCGGTCTGTGGCCAGGCCTCCTGGTGGATCAGAGCCTGATCAACCAGGCTGTTGCTGCTGGCTGCACGCAAACCAACGTACGAGCCACAGCCCGGCTGGTCAGGAACCGACTTTAGGTGCTTGTCCAGTGCCAGCTTGAAGACTGCCAGGGGTCTGTTGGTAATCCCCCTTATGTATGCTGGGAGGCAGTTGAACAGGTAAAGTACAATTAGTGTCACACTCCTCATTAAACTTCGACAATGGCAGATGGGAGTTCAGGAGAGTCTGGTTCGGTGGCCTGGTGGCTAAAGCTCCCGCTTCACACACGGAGGGCCCGGGTTCGATTCCCGGCGGGTGGAAACATTTCGACACGTTTCCTTACACCTGTTGTCCTGTTCACCTAGCAGCAAATAGGTACCTGGGTGTTAGTCGACTGGTGTGGGTCGCATCCTGGGGGACAAGATTAAGGACCCCAATGGAAATAAGTTAGACAGTCCTCGATGACGCACTGACTTTCTTGGGTTATCCTGGGTGGCTAACCCTCCGGGGTTAAAAATCCGAACGAAATCTTATCTTATCTTAAAACGATCAGTGGCGGCATACAAAGGGCATCTGAACAGAATGCGTAACAGGTGCAAGGCTACTTGCCAACGCAGTAACGTAGACTGCGGTGATTTGCAAGACTGCTTGAAGCGTTTGGGGTAAATGGGAAGCCTATGAACAAGCATTCTCAGCATATGAGCTACAGGCTATTGAGGATGATGAAGCCCAGGATAGTCTTCGGTAGGCTCTGGACGAATTCACTAAGGATGATGTAGATTGTCATCAGGAGATGAATACGTACAGAGATAAGTTAAGTACATTAAAGGCTAGTATTCCAAGGGTGGTGTCGAACACCGCAGGTACCCCAAACAGCCACACACCTGTCAGTATGTTGCCCAGGTTGCCCCAGTTGAATTTACCGACATTTGACGGAACCCTGAGTACATTGCTTTCTGGGATCAGTTTAAAGCCCAGATAGATGACAGGAACGATTTGTCAGATGTCGTCAAATTGCAGTATTTGCGGTCCGGCACTACCAGATTACTGACACTAATTACCAACATGCCAAAGACCAATTAGAAGACATGTTTGGCAACACTGAAGAGATAAAAGTGGCCATACTTTATCGGTTGTTGGATCTAGAGGCTTGCCGACATGACTGTCAAAGCCTAGAGAAGTTCCGTATTGAAATTATGAGCTTGACAAATACTTTCAGAGATTTGCATGATGAGGATGATTCAGAATGGGTCCTTAGCCAGGTGATTCAGAGGAAACTGGCTAGCACTACAGTGCATGAGTTGCACTTAAAATATCGGACGAATAGGTTCACGATAAAACAAATTGTTGAAGGGTTAGGGGATCTCATATCTCACCTGAGCATAGGTCAGGGGGAGAAATTACCTACCAAGGAGAAGTCGGTCAACTTCCCCAGACATTTGAGAGATAGACCTAAACCACCTCCTACTAGGGTCGGCACGTATTATGCCCAGGGCGAGTCCTCCACCCACAGGGCCAAGGGAGAAGCCACTAAAGCGGCCAGTATGAGACAGTGCTTGTTTTGTGAAAGAGAACATGCTAGTTCATGGTGCTCGAGCTTCACCACCTATCACAAAAGGGTTTCAACGACTAAGGGAGTTGAGACTTTGTTTCAAGTGTTGTGGAGAACATTTAGGTGGCCTGGTGGCTAAAGCTCCCGCTTCACACACTGAGGGCCCGGGTTCGATTCCCGGTGGGTGGAAACATTTCGACACGTTTCCTTACACCTGTTGTCCTGTTCACCTAGCAGCAAATAGGTACCTGGGTGTTAGTCGACTGGTGTGGGTCGCATCCTGGGGGACAAGATTAAGGACCCCAATGGAAATAAGTTAGACAGTCCTCGATGATGCACTGACTTTCTTGGGTTATCCTGGGTGGCTAACCCTCCGGGGATTAAAAATCCAAACGAAATCTTATCTTATCTTGCCAGGGACTGTAGTGCCCAACTCAATGAGTGTCGGGGCTGCCGGAAAGGTAGGCACAACAGTGCACTGTGTCCTAATGACACCAGATCAGCACAAGCTAAGGAGAGCAAACCGCAAGAGCAAGAAAGGGCGGAGAGCAAGGACGAGTCGGAAGCAGTGATGAGTGTGGTGAGTGCGGCACCTTGAATTTGTTCTGGTGAGCAGTTTCAAGGTTCGGTGGCCTTGCCCACCATAATGGCGGTGGTTACGAATGGGAAGAAGTCTGAAACGACCCATTTGTTCTACGACAGTGGGGCACAGAGATCCTTTATAACAGAGAGTCTAGCAATTAGGTTGAAGCTGAAGACAGGTGGTAAAGTTGACATGAAGGTGGAAGGTTTTGGTGGGGAAGTCCCACGCAGGTCTTATCCAGTAGTCAATGTGACGGTCAGGTTAGCCGGGCATCGACGGGAAATTTCAGCCTTGATAGTGAAGAGGCTGCCCAATATCATTACCACTAAGGGACTGGCCGCAGCAGTCAAACATTTGAGGGAGTTAGGTGTGAAGCTAGCGGAACCAGACATTGCTACAGACAACGTTAGTAATGTAGGAATCTTGGTAGGAGGAGATTACATAGACGAGTTTGTGTCTACAAGAAGGGTTATCAAGGAGGGTGTTGGCCTGTACAGGACTCCAGTGGGGTACATCATAGGAGGCAGGGTACCAGCTCATTTCCCTGCGACCCCGGGAAAGGAGGGCTCCAGTATTACAGCGACTGAGGCTGTACTGGTGATGCGGATTGGGGTACACGAAGACTTGTCAGAGACGCAAGTTGGCATATCTGACAGTGAGCCAGTCCATAAACTATGGGACCTGGATGTAGTAGGGATTAAGGGTGACCAGCCACCCCCTGAACACAAAGAGACGTATCGAGATTACTTGAACCATGTGCAGTTCAGGGAAGGACAGTACTGGGTGCGACTCCCATGGAAACCGGTACACCCAACGCTGCCCACTAATTTCAAGAAGGCACGGGGTCAGTTGAATTCATTGGTGAACAGCCTGACCAAGAAGGGTCTGATGGGGAAATATGATGATATTATTAAGGAACAGTTGGCCCTTGGGTTCATTGAGAAAGTGCCCAGTGCCAGCCCTGGGGAAAACACCCATTATCTTCCACACATGGCAGTCACCAAGGAGTCAGTAACCACTCCCATCAGAGTAGTCTTCAACTGCAGCTCACAGGCAAGTCCCCGAGACCCATCGTTGAATGACTGCTCACAGGGCCCTCCCTGATGCAGAAATTAGCAGATGTGTTGTTGAGATTCAGGACAGAACAGTATGCTTATGCGGCAGATATTAGCAAAGCCTTCCTACGTATTGGGTTGCAGCCACAAGACAGGGACTACACAAGGTTCTTGTGGTTGGCTAACAGGGAGGTGCCCGAGCAAGGATATGATACCTACAGATTCAGGGCAGTGTTGTTTGGTGCCACTAGTTCACCATTCCTATTACAGGCCACCATAGACTACCACCTTCTGAACTGTAACAGCCTGCTTAAAGAATTACTGAAGACCCTATTTTATGTAGACAACATGCAAGGTACCACCTCAGATGAAAGGCTGTTGATGGACATTTACCGAGAGTCTAATCAGGAGATGCTCTCGGCTAACATGCCTTTGAGAGAATGGGTGACAAACAATCCAACGTTGCGGGGCACTGTGGAACGTGACTATGCTGGCTACTCAGTACCTGAGGTAACATCGGTGTTGGGACTGGAGTGGGAAATCAAGGAAGACAGACTTAGGCTAAAGAGGAAACCTGATGGGGAAGGGAAGCTGACCAGGAGGTCCTTGCTGAGTCAAGTGCAGACTGCCTTCGATCCTTTGGGTTTGTTGACACCCATCACCATTCGAGGGAGGATGCTAGTGCAACAGACCTGGGAGCTGAACCTAGGTTGGGACGACCCACTGCCAGGAGTGGGATCTGGTTAGCAAAGATCTAGCAGAATTGCATGAGTTCACATTCCCCAGGTCCATCGGGTGCACCGAGTGGGACTATGACTTGCATGTCTTCTGTGATGCCTCCTCCAGGGCCTATGGGGCAGTAGCGTATTTGGTGGCCGGGGACCAGGTCAGTGTGGCCACCAGTCGTGCGCGGGTGACACCCCTGAAGGATTGCTAGAGCTCATGGCGATGTTGCTGGGAGCAAGACTGGGTAAGTACGTAGAGGAGGTGTTGAGTAACCTGAGGGTTACACACACCTATGTATGGACAGACTCGGAGGTGGCCTTACAGTGGGTCCAGAACGACAGGTCTAAGCTCCCCTATGTCAGGAATCGGGTAAAGGAGATACGGGAGCTACAGTCAACATCAACAATTCTGTATGTGCCTACAGATCAAAACCCAGCCGACCTGATAAGCCGAGGGGTAACACACAAAAAGCTGAGTAAAAGCGAGATTTGGTTCAAAGGCCCAGACTGGTTGCCGGCAAAGGATTGCTGGTCGGAGCAGAAATTCGGGGAGACAACCAGCAGCATAGTACACTTTGTGGGGGAACCCGACACTGAATTATTTGACCCTAGACACTACTCCTCTTGGAGGAAACTTATAGGCGTCACGGAAATGGTATTTCGATTTGTGAGGAAGCTGCATGACAAGGTAAGCCAGGGTCGACAGTTGTCTCTCGTGGGTCCCAGAGAATATTGGTTAAGGCAGTACCAAAGGGAGAGGTTTCCAGGAGTGCTGGAAGTACTGACGACAGGGCAGCAGGTTATGGCGTCAGGACATGTGTCCAACGACGACTCAGGGAACAGTAAATTGGTCCACTTGTTGGGATTGTTCCTAAATCATGCTGGGCTAATAAGATGCAGGGGAAGAATTCAAAACCCTGAGCTCAGCTAAGGGGCCAAACATCCCGTGTTACTGGGAAAGGAGGGATGGGCGTCAGAGCTATTGATACAAGATGCCCATCAGAGGACCTTACATGGGGGGGTTTGGAGATACCCTCACCTGCCTATGTCAGAATTACTGGGTACTGAAGGGCCGAGCTGCCGTCAAAAGGGTGCTAAAGAGTTGCACGGTCTACCGGCGGTATGATGGGAGGACCCTACCATACCCGGGTCCACCACTGCTGCCTCAGGAGCGGGTACATAGTGACAGGCGCTTTGAGACTGTGGGAATAGACTATACTGGGGCTATCACGTTGAAGAACCCAGAAGACGATAGGGTGGGCCTTCAGAAAGTATATGTCTGCCTGTTTACTTGTGCCACTACTCAAGCTGTGCATTTGGAGTTGGCGGAAGATATGTCCACAGAGACTTTCGTGAAGTTGTTCAGGAGGTTTACAGCCAGATTCTCATGCCCGCGATTGATTATCTCGGACAATGGCACGAGCTTCAGAGCAGCCGATAAAGTTTTCAGGAATCTCAGGGACAACGGAGAAGTACGAGAATACCTGAAGAGAATAGAGTGCGAGTGGAGGTTCATAGCTCCCAGAGCGCCTTGGCAAGGGGGATTCTATGAACGCATGGTGGGCACAGTCAAAAGGTGCATTCCGAAGGTCTTGCACGGCAGGAGAGTGAGCTTTGATGAACTGAGGACAGTGTTAGCTGAGATAGAGGCAAGAGTCAATAACAGGCCTCTGACCTACGTGCAAAATGGGATTGACGAGCAGGAAGCTCTCACCCTCAATCACATGCTGTTTGGAAGGAGGATTGAGCCCTTCCCCGCAATTTTGAGTCAGTCTTCCAAGGAGCTGGATTATTATGGGCCAGATGGTCCCCCCATCAATGAAGAACTGCACAGGAGTCACAACAGACTGGTGAACATCCTGGACAAATGAAACCAGGTGTGGTGCAAGGATTACTTGACAGCCCTGCAGGAACATTTCTATGGTGCAGACCCCGAGGCAAATAAGATGATGCTAAGTGAAGGGGACCTGGTGCTAGTAGAATCCGAGGTGCCCAGGGCATATACTGGCCTCTTGGCCTGGTAGTGTCGACCCACCCAGACAAGGCTGGGCGGTTGAGAATGGTGAAGGTGAGAATGAATGGTGTCGAGACTATAAGACCCATCAACAGGCTTTTACCTCTCGAGGTCCACACGGTGGGGCCGGGACATAAGAAGTTAGACCAGAGGCTGACCGAGCTGAGCGGCCGGACGACCTGTCAAATGGCGCTCAAGTCCCGGGCCCACTGGGAGGGCCTGCGGGAGGCAGACTTGATCTAGACTTAGCGCCTACCTTCGCCGGCGGGAGGATGTGGAAATTTATTTGGTCCCTAAAGTTCCACAGGACAGATACGGCGTACAAAGGGGTCCCAGCAAGGCCGTAATGGAACGGCTGAGCTGGGTGGCCCTTAAACCCACCCAAACAAAAGCGTTCTCTCCCGGATTGTCGAACGTGGATGGTAGGCACTTATTAATTTATAGATTTACCCTTCAGGGAAGAAGTAGGTAGTTTACTGTTAGTACACTAATATTAGGGTTATTGAGGCAACTGTAGATAATAATGTAGACCTAAGACCTTAAAATAGGTAGTAATAGGCTGATAATGCAGGCAAATACTAGGTTAAGTTAGCTAGGGAGAACTGGCAGCCCTAGTTTGAATGACGAGGCGTGGGTCTGGGAGGGATCAGCTCATTCTTCTATGACCATACACCACCTGGACAAGACGTGCCGTGATCAGCAGATGGCGCCTCCCACGTGTCTTCACATATGAGACCTGGGGAAATCTGGTAGAGGCACCTCGATGTACCGTATATGACCTCCTCCGTCAGGCCCATACAGTAAGACAAAACCTCCACTTTCTCTTAGGATTTCTAGCCAGTGTCTTGGGAAAATTGTGAGTGAGTTGATCTGTATGCCTGTGTGCAGCTGGCAGTGCATGCCCAGTACGTACCAGTGTCTCTTGTCTATTTAGAAGCTAGTGTCCGTGTCTGCATAGTTGTACTACGGGATACACATCCCCCTTGGATATAGGAATTTCTGAGGTGCAGGCAGGTCACTAATATCGATTGAATATTGCAGGAATTTAGGCTCCCGGTTGCACGTGGTTTCTGAGGGGAAGTCCAAAGGGGCTAAGGCTAAGCTTAGGGAAGTTGAAGATCAGGATATATGCTGCAACACCAAGTAAGTTAGTCCTTTATACGTGCATGCAGGCGAGTTTCTTGCAACATCAATCATTTATGAAAATCTGTCCTATAAGCCACTTGTGAGGCTGAGGTACCCACCTCAGAACTCGGTGTCAGCAGAGCTTGCCAGGGTAGGCGACTCACTTAGAGGCAGTCCAGACAAATTTTCACAAGCTGTTTTTTTATTATTTTTATTATCACACCGGCCGATTCCCACCAAGGCAGGGTGGCCCGAAAAAGAAAAACTTTCACCATCATTCACTCCATCACTGTCTTGCCAGAAGGGTGCTTTACACTACAGTTTTTAAACTGCAACATTAACACCCCTCCTTCAGAGTGCAGGCACTGTACTTCCCATCTCCAGGACTCAAGTCCGGCCTGCCGGTTTCCCTGAATCCCTTCATAAATTGTTACTGTTGCTCACAACCCCCAACAGCACGTCGTATAAAAACCATTTGTCTCATTCACTCCTATCAAACACGCTCACGGCATGCCTGCTGAAGCCCAAAGCCCCTCGAAACACAAAACCCCCCTTTACCCCCCCTCCCTCCAACCTTCCTGGCCCGCCCCCTACCCCGCCTTCCTGCCACTACAGACTGATACACTCTTGATCATTCTGTTTCGTCCATTCTCTTCATGCCAACCACCTCAACAACCCTTCCTCAGCCTTTCTGGAAAACAGTTTTGGTAATCCCGCACCTCCCCCTAACTTCCAAACTAGGGAATTCTCTGCATTATATTCACACCACACATTGCCCCCCAGCATGACATCTCCACTGCCTCCAGCCTTCCCCTCGCTGCAACATTCATCACCACGCTTCACACCATATAAGAGCTTTGGGTAAAACTATACTCTCTTACATTCCCCTCTTTGCCTCCAAGGACAAAGTTCTTTGTCTCCACAGACTCCTAAGTGCCCCACTCACTCTTTTTCCCTCATCAATTCTATGATTCACCTCATCTTTCATAGACCATCCGCTGACACGTCCACTCCCAAATATCTGAATACGTTCACCTCCCCATACTCTCCCCCTCCAATCTGATATTCAATCTTTCATCACCTAATCTTTTTGTTATCCTCATAACCTTACTCTTTCCTGTTTTTCCACCTTTAATTTTCTTCTTTTGCACACCCTACCAAATTATCCACCAATTCTGCAACTTCTTTTCAGAATTTCTCCCAAGAGCACAGTGTCATCAGCAAAGAGCAGCTGTGACAACTCCCACTTTGTGTGTAAATTCTTTATCTTTTAACTCCACCCCTCTTGCCAAAACCCTCGCATTTACTTCTCTTTACAACCCCATCTATAAATTATTAAAAACCACGGTGACATCACACATCCTTGTCTAAGGCCTACTTTTACTGGGAAAAAATTTCCCTTTTTCCCTAATACTCTAATTGAGCCTCACTATCCTCGTAAAACTCTTCACTGCTTTCAGTAACCTACCTCCTACACCATACACTTGCAACATCTCCCACATTGCCCCCCTATCCACCCTGTCATACGCCTTTTCCAAATCCATAAATGCCACAAAGACCTCTTTAGCCTTATCTAATACTGTTCACTTATAATTTTCACTGTAAACACCTGGTCCACACACCCCCTAACCCTTTTCCCAAGCCTCCTTGTTATCTGCTATCCTTATTCTCCGTCTTACTCTTAATTCTTTCAATTATAACTCTACCATACACTTTACCAGGTACACTCAACAGACTTATCCCCCCATAATTTTTTCACTCTCTTTTATCCCCTTTGCCTTTATACAAAGGAACTATGCATGCTCTCTGCCAATCCCTAGGTACCTTACCCTCTTCCATACATTTATTAAATAATTGCACCAACCACTCCAAAACTATATCCCCACCTGCTTTTAACATTTCTTTTCTTTATCCCATCAATCCCGGCTGCCCTTACCCCCCTTTTATTTACCTACTGCCTCACGAACTTCCCCACACTCACAAATGGCTCTTCCTCACTCCTACAAGATGTTATTCCTCCTTGCCTATACACGAAATCACAGCTTCCCTATCTTCTCAACATTTAACAATTCCTCAAAATATTCCTTCCATCTTCCCAATACCTCTAACTCTCCATTTAATAACTCCTCTCCTATTTTTAACTGACAAATCAATTTGTTCTCTAGGCTTTCTTAACTTGTTAATCTCACTCCAAAACTTTTTCTTTTTTTCAAAAAAAATTTGTTGATAACATCTCACCACTCTCTCATTTGCTCTCTTTTTACATTGCTTCACCACTCTCTTAACCCCTCTCTTTTTCTCCATATACTCTTCCCTCCTTTGCATCACTTCTACTTTGTAAAAACTTCTCATATGCTAACTTTTTCTCCCTTACTACTCTCTTTACATCATCATTCCCACCAATCGTCCTCTTCCCTCCTGCACCCACTTTCCTGTAACCACAAACTTCTGCTGAACACTCTAACACTACATTTTTAAACCTACCCCATACCTCTTTCGACCCCATTGCCTATGCTTTTCATTAGCCCATCTATCCTCCAATAGCTGTTATATCTTACCCTAACTGCTCCTCTTTTAGTTTATAAACCTTCACCTCTCTCTTCCCTGATGCTTCTATTTCCCTTGTTTTCCCATCTACCTTTTACTCTCAGGTAGCTACAACTAGAAAGTGATCTGATATATCTGTGGCCCCTCTATAAACATGTACATCCTGAAGTCTACTCAACAGTCTTTTATCTACCCAAAAATAATCCAACAAACTACTGTCATTTCGGCCCCACATCTTTTCGTGTATACTTATTTATCCTCTTTTTCTTAAAATATGTATTACCTATAACTAAACCCCTTTCTATACAAGTTCAATCAAAGGGCTCCCCTTATCATTTACACCTGGCCCCCCCAAACTTACCTACCACACCCTCTCTAAAAGTTTCTCCTACTTTTGCATTCAAGTCCCCTACCCCCCAATTACTCTCTCACTTGGTTCAAAGGCTCCTATACATTCACTTAACATCTCCCAAATCTCTCTCTCTCCTCTGCATTCCTCTCTTCTCCAGGTGCATACACCCCTTATTATGACCCCACTTCTCGCATCCCAAACCCTTTTCTTTAATCCACATAAATTTTTGAATTTTCACATTCATATTCTCTTTTCTCCTTCCATAAAAATGATCATTTAACATTACTGCTACTCCCTTTCCTTTGCTCTAACTCTCTCAGATACTCCAGATTTTAATCCCATTTATTCCCCCACTGAAACTCTCCTACCCCCTTCAGCTTTGTTTCGCTTAGGGCCAGGACATCCAACTTCTTTTCATTCATAACATCAGCAATCATCTGTTTCTTGTCATCCGCACTACATCCCCGCACATTTAAGCAACCCAGTTTTATAAAGTTTTTCTTCTCTCTTTTTTTGTAATTGAAAACAGGAAAGGGGTTTACTAGCCCATTGCTCCCGGCATTTTAGTCGCCTCATACGACACGCATGGCTTACGGAGGAAAGATTCTTTTCCACTTCCCCATGGACAATAGAAGAAATAAAAAAGAACAAGAGCTATTTAGAAAAAGGAGAAAAACCTAGATGTATGTATATATATATATGCATGTGCGTGTCTGTGAAGTGTGACCAAAGTGTAAGTAGGAGTAGCAAGATATCCCTGTTATCTTAGCGTGTTTATGAGACAGAAAAAGAAACCAGCAATCCTACCATCATGCAAAACAGTTACAGGTTTTTGTTTCACAGTCATCTGGCAGGACGGTAGTACTTCCCTGGGTGGTTGCTGTCTACCAACCTACTGTGTGATGTCAAATACCATCATTGTATTCATTGAATTGTAATGCAGAACAATTGCAAATATTTAATTAATTGAGAAAGTATTATTATTATTGCTGTAACATCTGTAAATGATTTGCAAATATCCCAAATACTATAAAAGCTTTAAATTTACTAGAAAATGTGTTAAGTGTGACCATTCTTGCATGGTGATGTTCTATTAGCAGTAGTTCCAATATGATTTCACTGGAATATTTTAGCTGTAATATAGTGTACAAATTCATTTTTTATGTGTCAGATTATTTTTCTAAGTAACTTAGTTTTGATGTCATTTTATTGTTTTTGATGAATATGTGCTAGTGTTTTGTAAATCATGTCCCTCCATAATTTTTGGAAAATCTTTTATTTTTTAGCAATAGTGTTTGCTTGTGAGTTTTGTGACAAAACTCAGTAATACTCTTGTAGGTTTAGCAGCAACCAAGCACCCCTGAAGCTGTGCCAGTAATTTGCTAGAGCCAACTAAGCTTAGCCCCTGGAGAAAGATAGTACTACCAGAGATCAGACAACATGTAATCTAAAGACAAGGGGGAGAGGCATATTCACACACAAAAAAATCGAAAACGTATGAAATTTTCTCTTGAAAAATAGTGCATAAACCTGGCCATACTTTGATGCAATCTGCTTGTGTATACCATTTTCTATGTTTTTATAGGAATTTGGAATTTTCTTCGATGACATCATCTTATACTCCAAAAATTATTAGTTTTGTGAAAGTTTTTTGAAATTACACTATGTGGAATCTCTTCTGACACCTAGATGGGCCTGGGAAGTGGCGCTGCTGTTACCCTTGCAGTGCTGAGATAAGAGGATGATGCTCTTCCCTTGACTTGTTGTGTTTCACATACATAGATTTTCACAGAAACTATTTCTATTCACAGAAGTTATTCTCCTTTACTAATAGAATTTTCAGTAATTTGTGAACATAGTCAAGATTTTTGAACACATTATTGAACAATCATGGTTTTACAAAGTAACAATGATTTGCAATATCCTTTACCATTTTTGTTTTATTGATTTTTTCCCAAAATATTCCTTAATTAAAAAACATACTTCAACATTTTTTAAAATCCAAGATATTGACATGTTGGTCATATCCAGATGTTACATTGTTCTTTAGCCCTTTATCATTAATGTAAGGTCAACTAGAACATTGTACATCGTATCAATTTCGCAAATTCTACATTAGAATGATACCCCATAAAAAATTGACTTATTTTTCCCCCTTGATATTTTTAGGCAAACCTTGTAGCAGTTACAGTGTGCAGGTTTGAAAAGCTTGTTAAATTACAGTAAAAATTTCACTGAAATCAGATTAGGAAAAAAAAAATTGCATTTCTGCCTCATCCTGGGAGTGATCATGTCAGAGGATCTCGCCTTCATGGACCATAACATTGTATCAATCGCATCTGCTAGAAAAATGACAGGATGGATAATGAGAACCTTCAAAACTAGGGATGCCAAGCCGATGATGACACACTTCAGGTCGCTTGTTCTATCTAGACTGGATTATTGCTGCACACCAACTACCTTTCAGGGCAGGTGAAATTGCTGACCTAGAAAATGTACGGAGAACCTTCACGGTGCGCATAACGGAGATAAAACGCTTCAGTTACTGGGAGCGCTTGAAGTTCCTGAAGCTGTACTCCCTGGAACGCAGGCAGGAGAGATACATGATTATATACACCTGGAAAATCCTAGAGGGACTAGTACCGAACTTGCACACGAAAATCACTCGCAACAAAAGCAAAAGACACGGCAGACGATGCAACATCCCCCCAATGAAAAGCAGGGGTGTCACTAGCACGTTAAGAGAAAATACAATAAGTGTCAGGGGCCCGAGACTGTTCAACTGCCTCCCAGCATACATAAGGGGGATTACCAATAGACCCCTGGCTGTCTTCAAGCAGGCACTGGACAAGCACCTAAAGTCAGTACCTGACCAGCCGGGCTGTGGCTTGTATGTTGAATTGCGTGCAGCCAGCAGTAACAGCCTGGTTGATCAGGCTCTGATCCACCAGGAGGCCTGGCCACAGACTGGGCCGTTGGGGCGTTGACCCCTGGAACTCTCTCCATGTAAACTCCAGGTAACCATCCCTGAAGGCCTCTGTGCTAGCCTGAGGAAGGAATATTAGACCATCAGGGTTAAGGAAGTACTCAGATACAGCAAGGGAGTCCCTTGGAAACTGTGGTTTGAGTCATTTACTTGACCAGTGTCATAGGTGCTATTATCAATTAGGAGTGTCCTGCTATAGTAAAAGTTACAACTGTTTTATATTTTGGATTTTAATACAGGGGGGTGGACAAAATAATGGAAACACCAAGCATCTTCTTGTAATAATTTTGTATAAAATCATGAAATTTTGCTATTATGTTTTTATGATTTATTATTAGTTTTGCTTATTTCTTTTTGCTAAGATTTTTTTTTTTTTTTTTTTTTTTTTTTTTTTTGCAGATTTATCAAGAGATATTAACTAAAATCCCTAAAATGACACATCTCAGACTTTGAAAGAGGTCAAATTGTTGGTGCTCATATGGGTGGTTGTAGCATAACGAAAACAGCTAGACGTTTTGGTGTATCAAGAGGTAGTCTCGAAGGTGATGACGGCCTATGCGAAAGAGGGAAAAACCTCTTCATCAAAGAAAAACTCTGGAAGGAAGCGAAAGCTGTCAGATAGGGATCGTCGAACTCTTTCACGGATTATTAGAAAGGATCATAAGACTACAGCACCCAAAATTGCAGCAGAGCTTAATTAAGAACACCTCCATAACCCAGTTTCCACAAAAACTGTAAGAAGGGAACTTTATAAAGCTGGATTTTATGGGAGGGCTGCAATTAGGAAACCCTTACTTTCAAAAACCAATGTTGAAAAGCATGTAGAGTGGTGTAAAAATCATCAACAATGGTCCTTAGACCAGTGGAAGAATGTCATTTTCTCTGATGAGTCATCTTTCACCTTATTTCCAACCTCAGACCGAGTATACGTGTGGAGACAGCCAAAAGGAGCATGTGATCCCGACTGTCTTCTTTCAACTGTTAAACACGGAGGAGGTTCTGTGATGATCTGGGGTGCTATATCTTGGAAATCTGCAGGCCCAATGGTTGCCCTTCATGGCAGAATTAAGTCAAGATTATTTAAACATTTTAGCAGATCAACTTCATCCTATGGTTGCAACACTGTTTCCAGAATGGAATGCAATCTTCCAGGACGATAATGCACCAATTTACGCAGCTAAAATCGTCTCTGAGTGACACGAGGAACATTCTAGTGAGGTTGAGCATCTTATCTGGCCACCCCAATCCCCAGATCTTAATATAATTGAAAATTTATGGTGCATTTTAGAAAAACAAGTGAAGTTGATACCCTCCACCATCATCACTTAAGGAACTGGAGACTGTTTTAGCTGAAGAATGGACAAAAATACCCCTGGAATCTATTCAAACATTGTATGAATCAACTTCTCATAGAATTCAAGCAGTAATTACTGCCAAAGGTGGTCCTAGACCATATTAAAATAAATTTGTTTAAAATTTCAAGGTGTTTCCATTATTTTGTATTTTACATACATGATACTTGTAATTTTTTTTTTTCAATTTCAGATGTCCCTGTAATGTGTATAAGAAAGGAGGAACACTGCATTAAATTGTAAGTTTTTCTTGGGTATGTTTCACTAACCCCTTGAACCATGTATGTAGAATCCATTTGTCAGAGATTAAATTGAAGAATATATAGATTTACCATTTTTTCCGGAGAATCAAGCCCCTGATAGTGCCTACTGTTCAATTTTCAGGCCAAGCTACTCTAAGAACCAGTACATGTCAGAATCAAAACCTTGTTTTAACTCTCTCGTATTATTTCCCATTGGGTTTTTCTTGCTCTAACCCAAATTCTGTCTCCTTTCTATGACTTTAGCTACTTTCACCACCTCTACTTAGAGTAGGTGGTGGCAGCACATATTTCTAATTGAGAGGACTTGAACCCTACCTTTCTTTTCTCAAATTTGACTTCTTTCCCTTTTTATTCACTTACCGTTTTTTTCATTTTTGTCCACTCTGAGTTTCCGCCTGTGGGAATGAAGACAGTATGGCATTGTCTGGTGCTATGTTGACCCTAGGGTAGGATTGGGGCAGTAGCTTCGTTTCATTTGGCCAATTTGAAAATATGTGAATGTGGTTTTACATACCCAAGAGCAATAGGAAGATGGCCAGGAATAACAAAAAAAGGCACAATAACCTATGTACCTCTGTAATCTGTAAATACCTTTGTAACTTGTCATGATTGTGACTAGACCTACCTGGAGTTCATTACCTTTGTAAATTGTGAGTTTATTACCTTTGTAAATTGTGAATTCATTACCTCGGTAACTTGCTCAGCTATCAAAACTTTGAGGTCCAGTCCCTGGACCCATTATGTACCTCTGTAATCTTTTGACTACCACCCACAGGATGGGTATGGGGTGCATAATAAACATATTAAACTAACTAACTAAACCGTGACTGGAACAATACACAAACAACCCGCACATAAAAGAGAGAAGCTTATGACGACATGACTTTGTAAATGGCCAGGAGCCTGTTTACAGTTGAGAAATAATTTGTTCTTTAATTCGTATCGCTGTATAGCCCTTGTGGTTTAGCGCTTCTTTTTGATTATAATAATTTAATTCGTATCAACACTCTTTGCCACTGGTGTCTGTCTAAACCCATGCGAGTCATACAGCATCTGGGGAATTGGAGGCTATTATGTTTGATCCAAGAAGGGGAGACCCAATCCAGTTCTCTGGATCAAGAGCCCCTCAACAACATAATGGAACCCTTGAGAGGTCTGAGTCTACGGATTGTACCAGAAAAAAATTGTGGAGAGATACATGATAATGTACACTTGGTACCAAACCTGCACATGAAAATCACTCCATATGAAAGCAAAAGACTCAGCAGGAGATGCAACATTCCCCCAATGAAAAGCAGGGGTGCCACGAGTACATTGAGAGACAACACAATAAGTGTCTTGGGCCCAAGACTGTTCAATTGCCTCCCAGCATACATAAGGGGGATTACCAATAGACCCCTGGCTGTCTTCAAGAAGGCACTGGACAGGCACCTAAAGTCAGTACCTGACTAACCGGGCCAGCAGCATGCAGTAACATGCGGCCAGCAGTAACAGCCTGATTGATCAGACCCTGATCCACCATGAGGCCTGGTCTCAGACTGGGCCGCGGGGGCGTTGACCCCCGAAACCCTCTCCAGGTAAACTCCAGGTAATGTGAACAGTGAACCATGAGGCAGAATCTTAGTGGTCATTACCCTGAATGTCAAGTACATGAACACAGCAAAAAGCAATTCACTGTGCCTGCGAGAAATTCAGCATACCCACTGTCATACCAAGTATAATGGGAATCATATTTCTGGAAAACTTGTACATTTAGAATCTGCAACAATGAGGTGGACATGATTGCAGTGTGTAGCATAACAAAGAGTATGGCATATAAATGTTGTGAAAATGCTGATTTACTCTTGTAAATGTCCTTGGATAACCATTTGAAAGGAAAGCCACATACCCTAGTATAGTCTGATGATTTGGAAATTAGTGTGCATTACAATAGTGCAAGAATATATCGCATTTTTAAAGAATCACATGAAAAATCTATAAAAATTTATTATTATTGCATATTTTGGAGTAGTTGGAGGCATTTTCTGACATATATATGTACTTCATTTTTTTAACTGAAATACATAGATTATCACACTCAGAGTTCAAAGAAGAGCACAAGTTTGTAACATCCTGCATTCCTCTTCAAGCATACCATTATTATTATTATTATTATTATTATTATTATTATTATTATTATTATTATTATTATAAAACCAAGCATTAAACCCACTAGTCCTAATCATACCGTGCTGCTCTTCAAGCATAGCTGCCCATTTCAGACATTTTTTGACCTCAACTTCCAACCGTGTTTCTAAGTATGTAGCTTATTTCTAATCCCTTATTTCTGGGCCCTATGATCTCTTATTTGCAACATCTTTATTTCTGGACCTTGTAATAGTTTTGAAATTTTCAAAGCACTCTTGACTGTATAGGTCACTCAGTGCTCATAGCCATAAAAAAATATTACGACACAAAAAAAGAATAAAATTAACAAATAATGAAAACAATACAAAATAGCCAGCATCATTTGACAAAATATTAAATAAAAAAAATGAAGACAGGCATATGCTCAAATTGTTAAATTATGTTCTACAGCCAGGGGTACATGACAAGGAACAGGGGGGACAGGAGCACTTGTGTACAGGTGACTTAAGTGAGATGTATGCATACAGTCCTTAATTAACAATTTCATCTTAAAGATTCCTGTTGCAGGGCAGCAGGCCAAATGCTCACATTCTCCCAAGCCCTGTATAAAAATAATATCTATTTGTACAAGTACATGTACAAGGTACAGTAGGGCCCCTCTTATACAGCAGGTTAGGTTCCGGCCTACCACTGTAAAGTGGAACACTTTTTTTTCACTTATAAATGCATATAAATGCTAGTTTACAAATTTACACTAACATATATTAAGTTAACAGTAGAACTAAGCATTAAAAAAACAAAAAAGTAAAATACACATATAGTACACTCATTACTTACCTTAAAATATTTGTTGTCTTAATGTAGGGTGAGATGAGTACTATTGTAAGAAATCAGGTGTGGTAGGTATGGTAGCCAGGCCACCTCCACCTCACCCCAACCACAAGTAATATACTATGACATTTAACCCTTTGACTGTTTCAGGGCCCTCTCTGAAACTGTCATTCTATGTCGCCAAATATTCGAAAAAAAAAAAATTATTTTTTCTTATGAAAATGTTAGGAATATTTTTACTAGTGTTTTAAGCCTAAAAAAAAAATTTTGCCATCAGTACTTACCGAGATATAGGCCCAAAGTTTGCAGAAATCGACGTGGTATGGCAACAGGGGCGATGCCCCCCACCCGGTTTTCTTTTATTTACTCTAATTTCAAAGGTTTCTTGCATTTTTCAATTTTTTCTTTCCAGGTAACTTTTTGGGGCCTGTGAGACCAATGTAAGGGCATTGTTCAAATAACACTCATTATTTACAACACAAAACAGAACAACCTTTTATATTAGTTGTGTAACACTTGTTTACACAAAAAACCAATACAAAAAAAATTTTTATTACATTGTTCCTAATATATTAAAAGACAGCCCCTAAGCACGTTCCTAGAACTGCGCAGCTTGTGGAACTTTTTGAAACATGGGTTATGCAGGGGGGCACTTCACACTCCTCACACAAAAAACGATGTCTCTCGTGTTTTGGGCTTTTTGTGGTATGCTACTACATAACCCTCTTTGACATTTTTTTTGGCAATAGGAGGCAGTTGTAGGGGGTAGTGAAACCGGGCCCCAAAACAGATGACGTCTGTGGGACGGGTTAAATTGCAGGAGTTGCCCCTTTGTATTTTGCAATTATTTGTCTGATTACTGACGGGCAAAATTCACCTTTTTTGGTGTTTTTGTTGGTCTTCACTTGTATTGTTAAAGCATTTAGCATGAGATAAAAACAAAGGGAAAAAAAGTTTGTATACACTTAAAACCTTGCGTACACAGTCTGAAAACCCAACTGCATGTCACTTTTGTCCATAAGCGCATATTGGGTTTAGTCCATGACAGCTGCGGCTTTAGAATGGGTTCTTTGGGTCTCCCTGTTGCCCCTGCCCTGGGACCATTTTTTTGTGTGCTGATGTAAACAATGTGACATCACGTTTGTCATCCCCCGAAATCCCATGATGTCATTGGCAGAAAAGGCTTCACCTCACCTCTGCGATTTTGCCAGCGCAAACCCTTGGCTATGTTTGGTTTACCAGCACTGTCCACACACGTCTGTCAAGTTCATCGCAAGAAATCACTGAGAAAGGGGTTGTGTACCAGTTTCAGTAAAAACTATGCCCCTTACCAAGATTGGTTCCACTTTGTTCGAACCACATCACCAAGATCCCAAATAACTTCAGGGTATCTCTCAAAGTTTACTGCATGTAACAAAAATCTAAACAGACCACTTCTGAATCCACAGTACAAATACTTTAACCAAAGCTTTTTCCCTTGCTTGGTATATTTGCTTGAATGAAAGTCTTTTTTTTGAATAAAATCAGGATCATAAATAACAAGCTTCCCGAAGGGAAAAAAATACATGCCCCCCTTTTGTTTCAGGTACATAAACAATTTCTTTCTTATAAACCCTGTCGTTCTGTCAGGCCGGGTTTTTGTCTAAAAGTGTAACAACGCAACAGATCAGGAAAACGATTGACACCTATAATTCCTAAAACCTGGAGTTAAAATCAGGCGATCTGTTGTCCATATGTGGGGACGTGTGCTTTAAAAGTGGAAAAACATTTTTTGTGGGAAAAAAAAGGGACTCTCTGCCCCAGTTGTCTCCTTCCACTTGTGTAGCCGTGTTTTTTTTGGAGAAATTGTATTTTCCCTGGTGTATTCACAGTATGTGTTGTTTTTCCCCACAATGATGTCCATCAGGGTTCATCGAAGAAAACCAAAACAGTCCAGTTCATGGCATTGTTCCCAAATGGGCAAGATGGGTTTTATTCCCTTTTTGTTTCATCAAAGTATGGGGGTGGAACAAACTCGT